GTACTTTAAAAGAACAAAGAACCAAATAGCTATTTTTCACCCTTCTCTTAAAAGTTTTGTAATTATTGGGTACTTAGTAAATGATATACAGATGTACTCCACTTATTCGAAAGCAATTTCCATTTCAATATTGTAATTAAAAATTTAACAAATTAAACACTATATCTTATATCGTAAACATTTTCAAAGTAAAACATTTTTATTCCTATATGAATACTCGTATTTATTATTTACATATTAAACAACTATTTTAACAGTTTGCACTGATATATATTCTATAGTTTTTCACTATGAAATTCTTTCGCATTTAATGATGTTGTTTAACATTAACGTAACTGCTTCCATGACCACCATGTCCATGACCATGACCATGTCCGTGACCATGATCGTGACCTCCATCATGACCACCGTGGGCATGTCCGATTTTATGGACCTTAGCATTGAATCCACTGTGTTTATCAGCAGTGTATTCTACAACACGAGTAGTGCCATCAGCTTCCTTAAGTGAGTAACTACCTAAAAAAACAATGTAAATAATCATATTATGTGAATATGTTAATAAAATTATATACAAATGTACTTCATTACCTTTCACATGATCACCATCACGATGTTCCCATTGACTTTTTTTATCTCCATGATGTTTATCTTCAACACCATAACTGAACTCATATTTAGGATAATGGTGAGCTTCGTGACCGCCATGGTGTCCTCCATCGTGACCGCCATCATGACCACCATGTCCACCATCATATCCACCATGTCCGCCGTCATGTCCTCCACCATGCGAAGTTATAACATAACTGCTATGTTCATGATGGCCATCATGACCACCATGACCACCATGACCACCATGACCACCGTGTCCATGTGAATCGTCGTGCTTTGTTACAACGCTATAACTAACAGAACCACCATGACCACCATCACCACCACCACCATGATGATGTCCTGCTGAAGCCAATCCAACAAGTACAAAAGCTAATCCACCAATGCTTAGTAGTTTCATTATAAAATTTTATGATTTTAAAACTATACTCTAATATTATACAATGGATAAGATTACTCTGCTGTTGGAAACTAATTATTGAACTGATAAATAAATTGAATTATTTAAGTATTTATACTAAATTTTGCCCTTTAAACTGATTGCTAAAAGGTCAATATACGAGTATAGAAATTCGGAAATTGTTGTAATACATTTGACTCATTCTTTAAAATAAGATAATCGGTAAAATTCGTTTTGGATTTGCAATTCAACCCGCTCTCATATAAACCGTTAACAACAACGGCCTTGTTTTTATCTATAAAAACGATCAGTTTAACAAGTGCAATGAAGATTGTAACACATAGTCGAATTTCTAACATTTTGTACAGTACTATAAACGAATAAAATCACTTTATATTAAAAACCTTAATGGAACATATCAAAAATATGCTAGTGTATTATCAAGTACATAGATCACTTCCTTTTAATTTAAATTTTATTTCCATATGATTTTCTTCTATTTTTCTTTTTATATAACATATAATAGTATTTTTCATTTCAATTGACAGTCACTACAATAATTTTTACTTCTAATTATACTGATAAAATACGAGTAGGACATTTTCCACCAATTGTTTGCAATATTATGTTAGAAATAACATTATTATTTTCTCTTATATGGTAGGAGCTTGACTAAACATCATTATTATATTATTATTGACTACATGTTTGTTATACTAGATTGATTTTCAATATTTTTAAAGAGATTTTCATTAACATTTTTTTTGGAATCGTTTTTTCATTAGCAAACATATTTTTCTCCAGAAATAACATTAGAATATTATTATCAAAATATTTCAAACAGTTTGGTCCTCGCGTTAATGACAGTCTCTTATATAGAAATGCTGCAGTTTAGGTCTATTATACAAGTAGAATAGTAGAATATAAAAATGCTTGATATCTTTTCATACTCCAAACTATATTTGTAAAATTTTTCAAATATTTTATTTTATATAAAATATGAAGTAGAGATTGTATATAATATGTGCACAAAAAATAATTTGTCAAAAGTGTTTAATGGAATATTTTTGAGAATTTTATGTTCTCTATATTTTATACTAATTTGATTCCATAATCTTAACAGGAGAGTTCTCTACTTATGCTAACATATGAACTGTTATGTGAAGAAATTATATAAAGGAATCGTACAATGCTGATGCTTATATTGCTTCACAAAAATATTATTGCATAAATAATTTATTGACTGATCTTCAAATTTAATACAACAAAGACGATTTCAAAACAAACAGACTCAAAATGTAAATGCAAACAAGCTATTTTCTTAAAATTTCTACAAAATATTTATAATTTATTTTCTAAAAACATATAATGTTTAAAATATTTGAGCGTGTTTCAAATACTTCCTAATACGAAGACTTTAAATAAGATAAATAATCTAAATTAATATATTGGTAACTTCTTCATAGTTTATTCTCGTTAAATTAGTGAAGTTTTGTTTCAAATTAAAACGAATTTACAACAAATCTATAATTATATTGACTAATAAATTGACTAATACTTTAAAAGAACAAAGAACCAAATAGCTATTTTTCACCCTTCTCTTAAAAGTTTTGTAATTATTGGGTACTTAGTAAATGATATACAGATGTACTCCACTTATTCGAAAGCAATTTCCATTTCAATATTGTAATTAAAAATTTAACAAATTAAACACTATATCTTATATCGTAAACATTTTCAAAGTAAAACATTTTTATTCCTATATGAATACTCGTATTTATTATTTACATATTAAACAACTATTTTAACAGTTTGCACTGATATATATTCTATAGTTTTTCACTATGAAATTCTTTCGCATTTAATGATGTTGTTTAACATTAACGTAACTGCTTCCATGACCACCATGTCCATGACCATGACCATGTCCGTGACCATGATCGTGACCTCCATCATGACCACCGTGGGCATGTCCGATTTTATGGACCTTAGCATTGAACCCACTGTATTTATCAGCAGTGTATTCTACAACACGAGTAGTGCCATCAGCTTCCTTAAGTGAGTAACTACCTATAAAAACAATGTAAATAATCATATTATGTGAATATGTTAATAAAATTATATACAAATGTACTTCATTACCTTTCACATGGCCACCATCACGATGTTCCCATTGACTTTTTTTATCTCCATGATGTTTATCTTCAACACCATAACTGAACTCATATTTAGGATAATGGTGAGCTTCGTGACCGCCATGGTGTCCTCCATCGTGACCGCCATCATGACCACCATGTCCACCATCATATCCACCATGTCCGCCGTCATGTCCTCCACCATGCGAAGTTATAACATAACTGCTATGTTCATGATGGCCATCATGACCACCATGACCACCATGACCACCGTGTCCATGTGAATCGTCGTGCTTTGTTACAACGCTATAACTAACAGAACCACCATGACCACCATCACCACCACCACCATGATGATGTCCTGCTGAAGCCAATCCAACAAGTACAAAAGCTAATCCACCAATGCTTAGTAGTTTCATTATAAAATTTTATGATTTTAAAACTATACTCAAATATTATACAATGGATAAGATTACTCTGCTGTTGGAAACTAATTGTTGAACTGATAAAGAAATTGAATTATTTAAGTATTTATACTAAATTTTGCACTTTAAACTGATTGCTAAAAGGTCAATATACGAGTATAGAAATTCGGAAATTGTTGTAATACATTTGACTCATTCTTTAAAATAAGATAATCGGTAAAATTCGTTTTGGATTTGCAATTCAACCCGCTCTCATATAAACCGTTAACAACAACGGCCTTGTTTTTATCTATAAAAACGTTCAGTTTAACAAGTGCAATGAAGATTGTAACACATAGTCGAATTTCTAACATTTTGTACAGTACTATAAACGAATAAAATCACTTCATAATAAAAACCATAATGGAACATATCAAAAATATGCTAGTGTATTATCAAGTACATAGATCACTTCCTTTTAATTTAAATTTTATTTCCATATGATTTTCTTCTATTTTTCTTTTTATATAACATATAAAAGTATTTTTCATTTCACTTGACAGTCACTACAATAATTTTTACTTCTAATTATACTGATAAAATACGAGTAGGACAAATTTCCCACCAATTGTTTGCAATATTATGTTAGAAATAATATTATTATTTTCTCTTATATGGTAGGAGCTTGACTAAAAATCATTATTATATTATTATTGACTACATGTTTGTTATACTGGATTGATTTTCAATATTTTTAAAGAGATTTTCATTAACATTTTTTTTGGAATCGTTTTTTCATTAGCAAACATATTTTTCTCCAGAAATAACATTAGAACATTATTATCAAAATATTTCAAACAGTTTGGTCATTGCGTTAATGACAGTCTCTTATATAGAAATGCTGCAGTTTAGGTCTATTATACAAGTAGAATAGTAGAATATAAAAATGCTTGAT